ATTGCAGTTGACATGCAGAGACATGCCTGCTGAGACGACAGTCAGAGGGGGCAATTTTTTTTTATTTTAAGACATTTGCAACAAAAGACAACAAGCAATAGGACACGTTGTCCCTTACAAGGCTTGACTCCAGATTACAACATATATAACAGACAAAATAATGTACAAACAGTTACTTGACGTAAATTTTTAAAATGTTAAGTCAGCAGCTACAAGCTGCGTCCACATTAGGGCTTCTGCAAATGGGACAGATTATATGCGGCCACGTACGTTTTCCGAGTCGAATGTGGACTGAAGGCGAGCAAAGAGTAACTTTTTCAATCGGGTCTTAAAAACTGATGTGCGCTCTGAAGTACGTATATCAAGAGGTAACGCATTCCACATAGGACAAATACGAATGAAAAATGATTCGCGAAATGTAGATGTTCGAGCGAAATTTAAGCGGAGATCCATCCCCGAGGTTCCACAGCGAGTCTTAGAGTGTGAAAATTGTACAAATCTTGATATGTCGAGACGTATTTCGCCGTTTATACAACGGAAAAGAAGGTCAAGATATGCTAGGAAGTAGCACAGGGGTAATAACTTTAGAAATTGAATGAGCCGGCACTTGTAGTCGAGTTCAGAGGATGTCAAATATTAGACAGTCCCCTGAACAAAAATTGTGATGCCAGCGATGAGGGGTGGTCCAAAATTTAATCAATGAGGTATTCAAATTTGCACAGACCATAGTCATAGGTACATGTACACAAATTTAAAATTGATAAAATATAATTTGCATGAAAAAGGTTGCTGCCTCAGTACACGTGTGTCCCTGTGACATAACATTCTTATATATATCACATTTATTTTGAATATGTATTTGCCATAATTTATTTTATTACTGCAACAGTTCCGCTGCAGGGCCCTCCTCTTAGGACTTATAGAGTTCAGGTGAGTTGAAAATTTTAACAAACACTTCTTGCAAATTGTAATTATTCAATGTTATTTAATTAAGTTAATAAAGAAAAAACATCATTTATTAAAAGTGATTTTCCAGTTTTGTTGTTTCAAGATGTGCAGAACTGAAAGTTGATTTTCAAAACAAAGTGGATGTTCAAGGGATCTAGGGATCACAAAATTAAATCACACCTATTTAAGACTGACTAAAAATGGGTGATTCCAGAACAGACCAACACACCCACATATCTGGAATTTTGGGCATCTCATTTGACTGAACTAATGTTAAAGGGTTTTTTGATAGAAAGATCGAGTCTAAATTTTATACAGGCCCTCTGGCAGGAATCAAAAACATGCAACCCTGCAAATTTGGTGCAGTGCTATAACCAATTGAGCTACAGAGCTCAAGGCTAGTTGTTGAGGTCAGGAGCATAGGAACGGGGGGACATGCCCTCCTCAAACCACAAGTTCATGTATATACTGTATATACAGGGTACTAACTAAGGTGATGCCTTGGTAAAGTTTATGAGAAAATATCACGATTAATGGACAACTTGCATGTTAGACTAAATTTTAATCTAAGCATAGAAAAGGGAATCAAACACAACAGCTAAAAAGAACATACTGAAATTAGTAAAAATGCAAAATTTGGCTGCGAAATGTTGTAAAGCTTGGAAAATATAGCCTTGCAAAGTTTGCATATTTTCAGTATATTTGTATTATGAGCGGAAATTGTTACCATTTTCGGCTCAAAAATGGTAACAATTTCCGCACGTAATACAAATATACTGAAAATATGCAAATTTGCAAGGCTATATTTTCCAAGCTTTACAACATTTCGCAACCAAATTTTGCAAGTTTACTAATTTTAATAAGTTCTTAACGGGAATTCACTTTTTTTTTGCCTAGATCGGTTAGATCAAAAATTTGTCTAACATGCAAGTTGTCTATTTTGGGGGGAATCTCACTCGATTGAACTAACATTGAAGGGTTTTGTAGATGGAAATTTTGAGTATAAATTTTATTTAGACTTAGCCAGGCAAAGCTATGCGACTATAGGCCCTCCTCTGGCAGGAATCGAACCTGCGACTCTGGTGCAGCACTCTAACCAAATGAGCTGCAGAGGACAGTTGTTGAACTCTAACCACAAGTTCATGTATATATACTAAGGTGATGCCATGGGAAGGTATATGGGTAAATATTAGGATTATTTTGGGCATCTCACTCAAATTGAATTGGGTCGTTCCAGAAAAGATCCACACTCCCCCCATGGAGGATATTTCTGCCGTCCGAAGGGGGAGGGGAGACAAAATTGTGTCTGATAATAGCAAATGTATTAGGACATCGGAAGGGGGTTAACTTCCACTTTCCTCCGAGGGGATGGTATGGATGTTTTCTGGAATGACCCACTGAATATGGATGTGGCCTTTAAAAGCAATTAAACAAAGAAGACATGTGATGCCAAGTTCTAGAGTTATATTGTGATATATAGTGATATTGAGAGAATCATATCATGATTATCATCTAAGAAATTATCACAGTATTCAATATCGTGATAAATTTCCACACAGGTTCAATTTTAATTTTATTTAATATTAACATGACAAGCTACACTAACAACTTAATAATAAATGTTTTATTTCTTATTATATACACACAACAAATTAAGGTAAATAAGGGAAAAAGAAGTACTTAATTAAATAAACAAGTAAAAAAAAACATTGCTTCTTTTTATCACTTCATAAACCCTAGTTGTTGAATGCAATAGCAGCAAAGCAGCAAACTGTCAGAAGATAGTTTAAATCTTATTAACCCATTGAGTGGCAGCACTCTCCACTTGATGAGTAAAATCGTCTGGCGTTAGGCAGAGTAAAATACTAAAGTAGGGTGCATTGCCACTTAAAGGGTTAAAAACTATAATTTCAAGCAATGGTTTACGAACAAGAACTGTTTTCGCTATATATATGTACAGCTATGTACACATGCAAAGCAATATCCCGATAGCCATTGACCATATCTATAATTGCAATATATCATCACTCACATTTCTACTTTAGACATGATAATCATGAGTGAAAATATTCGCCAACTTCCTACTCCTAATTATTAAGAAATTGATTTGCAAACTGACGTCCAATATCCAGTACTTGGTTCAACAACTTACATCACCCAGGATGGCACTTCTCAAATATCACTGACCTTTTAAAAGGGCAGGGGTGGAAAATATAACCAAGCAAACAGCTGTAGCAAATTTGCTAGATTAAAGATTTGAAACTTGAAAATTTGAAGGAATGCCCAACACGTATGTTACACTATGTGTCCAACAACTTTAATATGGTAGACAGACATATTTAATTTAAAACCACAGTCAACTAGAACACTATGTTTATAGGCACAACCTAAAAATACTCAGTTGGTCTGCAGGAAATTTTTATCACTATGTTGTTCTGCCAGGAAGAAATTGCTTTCTCTAAAAGGGCTTCCCTGCTCAACCCAGGTATTTTTAATGTTATTATTTGAACTGGTGAATGCAAATGCTATAAGAAAAAAGACCCCATAAAACAAACATGCCAAACTGTTTGGAAGCACATATCAAATAGCCACAGCTATGATACAGGATTCTTTATAAAACGGTAAAGCACAATTCTCGCACAAGCACATGCACAGCGATGCGTCGCTATGGCCATTTAATTGTATACACACAAAACAAAATTTGAAATTTTGTGCAAGTGTGTTTGACAAATAAACCACTAGCTTACATATCAGATACAAAAACTTATTTTTTCAGGCCAGGACTTCCCCCAAATTGATTTTATACAAGTAAACCAAACAAACTTTGCTCATCTTTATCCCATTGAGGCCAGAGTTGGTGTCAAGACAGTCAAGAGTGAAAAGTTTGATTTGGAGTATTTTAAAACCAAACAATTTCTTCGATCAAAAATACCACAAAAGAAAATAAAACAATATTGTTTAACTTTGCTAAAGTCTCAACTACAGAACATACCTTTGTACAGCAACAATATTTCGCTAAATATCACATACTGCTTGTGTTTCTTTTTGTCTACAAACTAGAGAAGCATTTACAAGAAGTACCCGCCATAAACTCAAGGCCCCCGCGACAATGCCTGGTGATTGGTGCGCGATTAAAACAACACTAGGGGTAGAGTAAGTGACAATACATGATAAGTGTCTGGTTTTTTATATCAAATTTTAAAATTTTTAGCTTTTAAATGAGCAAATCTCAGTCATTTGTTCATTTCATTTGACCTTAATGAAAAAGGCATGAACAATTTGTTAAAATATATTTATATTTCTCAGTTACCAACCACCCTACCCTTGAAAGTCAATTAAAGTCCCGATGGATGCCAATCCCGCGTTGGCATCTGGGCCATAAACATGGTCGCTTGCTCTTGGAAATTTCAACATATTTCCGTGTACAGTATTTGAGTTAAATTCCAATCAATAAAAGATCGAAAAGAAACTAGAAAGTGTAAATAAATGTCTGGTTTTTACTACTTTGCAATTGTGGGGCATAATGATAATCCAGTATATGAAACAGAGTTCTCTCCTCAAATGAGATCTAGCCACTCCAGTGCAGAATCTGGTAGAGATCAGATGAAGGTATCACAGTTTGGAGTTTATTAATTTTAAAATATTTAATGGATTTCGAAAATTTAATAGTAGATATATAGAAAACATCAAAGCTGCATTCCCAAGGTCTTAGTTGCATGATACAAACCTTTCACAGTGGTGTATGCCAGAACAGCCAGATGCTGATTCAGGCTGACCCTGGAAATTGCATGCCGGAGATTTCAAGAATTTAAATTAAATATAGTATAATTAATAGATTAAATAGAAAGCATCAAAATTGCGCGCCGGCAATTAGGGGTGCATCGGAACCAGTTTTTTAAGTTCCGGCCGGAACTGGATCCGACCGGAACTGGAAAAAAGTTCTGGCCGGAACCGGAACTAATTTATTAATTAGCCATATATAGTCATATGTTACTTTGTCCGCTGCCAGATAGGCAGACACTTCAAGTCATCAAGGAGAGAGCTCGCAAATGTTAGAATAGAAAGATTGACAAGTGTTAAATGTCATAATGAAGTGTTAATAGTGTACATTTCCCTTGCATAGTCCAAATTTCTTCCTACTGTGACCTTTTGTTAGACACAAAAACGTTTGATATTCTATCTCTCTGAAAACAACAGACTTCTGTCTTATGGTCACAGCCACTGCATTGCTGTTTTGTCTCCTGCTTGACTCACTGACCATGCTACTTAATTAGCCTTTCTCACGAACACCAAAATCCACCATTTTTGGTTGACTGTCTGTCCTTGTGAAAGATTCCAGACAATTCAAACATGTGAAAAGCATCTTGTAATTTAATTACCATTATACAAACAGAACAACTACAATATTAAAAAGATGCATTTCGTGGTGCGGAAACTCTTAAGGTGGCTCCCTAGGGTTTTATTCCTGGGGGTTACGTTCTTCGTATATATGTAAACTATCGCGTGTATTGTGTGACTTCAAAATACAGACGAAAGTTGTGCTTTATATGGAACTTTTTTTAAACAAATGTGTGAACTTTGCTTTAGTTTAAAGCATAAAAAGAGTTCTAAAATCCACAACAATACTTGGATGTGATGTTTCAGAAGAAGATATTAAATAAATGTAAATTTTTTTTTTCAAGCGGTATTTTGGACGTTTTTGACCACCGTACGCAAGGGTCACATTCGCGAACATTGGATATAAAGTTTCCTCAAGTATTTGCAGTGTTTTCTGCACAATCTAGCAGCACTGATGACAGTAAAGCACTTATGAGCCGTCTACGAGTGAAATGAGCAGGGCCGAAACTCCACAAACATACCACGTACCGTATAACTGAAATTTGAACGGGTGTTTTGTGAAAACATCGGACGATAGTATATATAAACTCGCACAGGACGAATTTTGGCAAACTTTTTCAAATTAATACCAACATTAAGCCATAAACAGGAATTACCTAAATATATTTGCCAATCTTACATGTAATAATCAACACTTAGTTGACCATTGACCGACACAGTAAAACAGTATATCAAACATAATTTATATTTTGTAATTTAATTTTAAAAAATGCATGCCTTAGCTTGTTGTTTACGAAATGCATGTACACATATGTCAGATGTGATAATTGTTCGCGTCACATTTCGTAAGAAATGCCAAAATTGAACCTAAATTTTTTTAAAACTTCGCACATTTCTTAATTAATATCGGCTCAACAAATGCAATGGCCTTTTTTCTTAAAATTCAATTGAAGGGGTATTTTTTAATATTGATTTTTAATGTTTTTTAAATTTTTATCCGTTGACGGTTTTATTTGCTTTTGAAAACTGAATATTTGCGTCGCGTTGCCGAATCGCGTCCGGTCTGTGTGGGCCTAAAGGCTGTAATTTGACTCATCAGAATCTACAAGCTATTAAGATTCGTTGACTGAAATTATCATCATGAATACAATTCCCAGAAGCAATTTTGGATCTGATGAATCAATCATGTGAATCTTACAAAGAAACTTTTAAAAACTCTATTTCAAACTGGATCACTTTTCTTTCATTTCCGGAAAAACCTGTTGGCATTTCTGGAAAAAACGCTTTCTGGAAAAACCGGTTGTCTGTGTTACAATTATGTACCACACAGAGCTGTGATCACTAAAAAACAAGTGGTTAATTAACATACGTAGTTTGTGCCTATATTAACCACATTGTCATATGTATACTTACAGTGATTTCACATATATATTATACATTGAGCAATATGTTAAATTAATATTAAATTAAATGTATTTTTTAAACAGAAAAATAGTGATCCCCATTTGCACCAGTTTGTTGTTCATGCATCTCTTGATCTTGTTGATGAAATGATGTGGAGTACAAATAATATGTAAGAATACTGGGCCTATATATCATGTTTTTACTGCACGGTTGACTTAAGTGACTGTGCACTTTTGTATGCATGGGAGTAAAATTCATATCAGATGGAAAAATAGATTGATGGAGTCGAAGTTCTGGCAGGAGCTCACAAATATTGTTGTCTAGACCTCTATGACATAACCATTAGTGGAGCTTTAAGACATTCATAATTGTTTATAAATTATCTGAATTAATATTAATTTATAGTTTTAATCATGTCAATCTGCATGGGTGGAAGCAGAATTGATTACTGGTTTAAAACTACAGTAGTTTGAATAGGATTAATTCCTGGTAAGATTATGAATATACTTCTGGTAGGATATATTAATATTCAAAATAAAATATGGAAGGTTGGAATATTAAATATAGTAGGACTGGTGCAGGAATATTGAAGGAAAAAATATTCTGCTTCCATCCCAAATGTCAATGACATATGTTCTGACTTATTGTATCCATCCTGGAACCCAATGAATGTCTCGCAGACCCCTTCCACGAATCCACACTCATTTGCCTTTGTGGAAGATGACGTGTTGCTAAACCTTTATCATAAAATACACTCATTTTCGCTGTTTATAGCCATTTCTTGCTTATCATTTCACATTTGTCACTGATCACTTTACACTATCCTAATTGGGATATCTCTGAGCTCCTTTTCCTTTTCAGGTATTTAAAAGTTATTGACAGATTTAATGAATGGTCTGTTTCTGCCTTTGTCACAGCTGGTGATATCCTTTTCCACATTGTTATATTTGCAATAGTTTGTTAATATAATTGTTATAATTAGACACTTATAATAATATGCACCAGCAGGGCTTTCAAAATTATTTTAAATAAGCATCTGCATGTATAACTGTGGTGAGAAAAGAGGCAGCTGAAAGAATAATTCAGTTACAATAATTCATCTTTTTGTCGGATTTGTGGCATCTTCAATTGGTAGTCTAAGCTTGTTTACTGCACTATAAGCAGGGCTTTATCCAAGCACCAACTGACCTCCGGTTAACTGACCTCCGGTAAACGGAGGTCAAAACTCAATCTTGGATTGAGTTTTTAAACTGAATCTTTCCCCCAACGAAAAAAAACACAACAAAAAATCATTTTCACACGCTTTAGTTTTTGGAATTCGTATTTCCTGTTATAATACTGTATACCTTATATATAGAGGGATAATAAATTATTTTGACTTAAAAATGTCTTTATTGATTTCTAAGGTTAATCAATCAGGTGTGTTACAGCAGCATGCCAGGTAATTCCGCAGTTTTGCATTGCGCACTTTTACTGCGCACATCTTAGAACTTGTAATTTCATCCATTATACGTACCGTTTAAAAAAAATTATTTTATGACAATTTCATGTTACTTCAAAACATCTTTGGTTACATTCGTGCAAAGAATTACGTTAAAATCAATGTTTTCAAAAAAGGCATACAAAAGTGTAGCTAGGGTTCCCTGTGTCTGTAGTATATTTATTTACTTGTATTTCACGTTTTAATGCCACAATTCCCTAAAAAGATCGGTGACCCCCGTTTTTTAACTGATAATTTATTTCTTTAATGCATTTTACATTTCATATCCGAAATTAAAAGAAAAATAATTTCTGGATCTTGAAAAATAATCCTTTATCAATGCATGTTCTCAAAGAAAGATATGGCGTAGCAAAAAAAATGTTGTGTTTCCGGTAACGAACTTTTATTAAAATCAGGTCGGTAGGTCGGAAAATAATTTTATTTTGTTAATTTTTTTTTATTTTTAAAATAAGATTATCAACTTATTAACGTGCCAATACTATATGTCAATTCAACCCTACATTGAATTTGTGATGAATTTAAACAACATTTACAGGGCTCGAAATAACGGCCGATCAACGATCAATGATCGGCAGGAAATTGTTTTTGATCGGCGAAGAAGCAAGGTTGCCGTTCATCTTGATCGGCAGAAATAGATTTGACCATTGTCTGAAAAACATGCTTACCTGTACGCAGTAAAAGACAAAATTAAAAGTAACATAAAACACATTCAAAAACACGCAAAAAGCTCTTGTTTAGTTGATACGAGTCATACGACAGGAAAGGCCGCAAGACTATTCTCACTCTAAACTGTAATTTACTATAAAACAAATTTGCTTGAAATACTGTCGTCTCTTCAACAGTCTGCAATCCGGACCACTGACGACGAACGTTTTTGTTATAGGATTTTTTGTATATACGTTTTTGGTATAGGATTTTTTGAGTAGGATTTATTCTTTTTAGTAAGATTTTCTCTTGTAATAATATTAAATAATAAGTTTTAGTTCTTAATTGATAATGCTGTGTTCATTGCTTTTGTGTGAAAAAATGCAATAACTTACTATAATTAAAACTTGAAAAGTGCTTTAATAAACTAAAGTTTATTAATTAGTTACACTATTAGAATTATATATAGTAAGTCCAAAAATGTCGTAGATTTAAACTTGAATTTGAAATAAAGTTAATTACTATCATATTTAGAATTTTGTTTCAAGGAAACTTAGTCTTAGACAAATATGCTCCTGATCGGCCAAATTTTTATTTGATCGGAAAAAAGTCGCGATTGCCGATCACCATGATCGGGAACGTTGGGAACGTTATTTCGAGCCCTGATTTATGTGACTCATACTAATAGGATTATCTGTAATCAAGATCGCGTATAGCAAGATACACAAAAAGAAATGAGTTTAATAACAGATTAAACTTTTTATTCCAAAAGTACTGTATTAAATAGCTCTGTATATAAATAACTTTTGTACAGTCACATTACTTATAAAACGAACATGAAAAACAAATATCTATAAATAGAATCTTGTCATGTTATTTTACTTCGTTGATCCATATGGACGGTGACAAATAGGTTCTAGGCCATTTCCCCTGCAATCAATTGGTCCGTGGTGAGCGTTGAAAATTTCAAGGAACGTTCTTGTAATATCAATATTCACCAACTTTTTTGTGCCACTTTTGTTGTGGTCACATTTTTCAATAGTTAGGCTCAACAATTTGGTTGTATTATTCCTGTGGATACTTGAACTATTTGCAGTAGAATTGCTTATGCTTTCCGCCATGCATAAACATAGCATAAACTATTAAAATCTTTACGTTTTGTGAACGCAACCGTTCGTGAAGCATGTGCAAACCCGGAAATGACCACCGGAAATAAATGTGTCAGAAATAAACTAGACGCCCTCTGCTAGACAGCGTGGATAATGACTTTACGGACAATTGAAATTACAGTATTACATGGGAATATGCTGGGAAATAAGTTAACAAGATAAGAGAGACTTTGTATTTAGTTCAGATTAAGTCTATTCTGGACTTTAAGTATGAAAAAAATAGAAAAAGTGTTTCAGGTCGGCGGAAAAATTTCAGGTCGGTCGGGTTACAGGAAACACAACATTTTTTTTGCGACGCCTATGTAAAGAAATGTGGAAAAGACATCTGTGGATAAGAATTGTACACGTTAGTAGTTTCATTTTGCTGAAAACACAATATTTTTTCAAAAATAATTACACGATAGGTTTACTAAAGCAAAATCTGCGCTAAAAACATCAATAAATATAATATTGGGGTAAAGGTGGTATATTGTGATTGTCATATCTTCTTAACGAGTTCGGTGACCCCGACTTTTTTGTGTGATTTTACTTTACTGCCTGGGAAGTTTCAGCACATTCTCATTTCGGGGACAATTACTGCGGAATTACCTTAAGTTGTGTTACAGCAGCACACTTTAAGGTGTGTTACTGTAGCACGCCTTAAGGGGTGTGCTACTGTAACACACCTTAAGGTGTGTTGTTTTCTGGTGTGTTGCTTTAGCACACCTTTTTTATTTGAGCTGTTCTTTTTTTCAAAATAAAACAACATGTTGTTTATGTTATAAAGCTACCTCTATCGTATTTTTTGTATCTTGTGCCCAGCATGCTTAGATGGCATGCATTTTTGGATTTCTGACAAAAATTTCGATCAAATTAGCACAAAATGAAATGGGATCAGGGATGGATTTACTAGG